ACTGATGACTCAATGCAATGAAAAGAGTTTTGAGCTAGAGGTGAGTGGTTAAATGTCAGTTACTGTGTTGAAACTAGAATAAGGCTTGTTAGACAATGACAAATAAGTACTTTTTTTTTTCTGATAATGAAAGGTGTAATAGAATTCTTTATGCCTTTCGTTGATTAAATTGATTTTTATTATGTGACGCAGATAAAATCAGCAGATAATCGTATCCTGCAGGAGCAACTGCAGAATAAGGTTAAAAGCTTAGCTAGCTTGTTTTCCCTTATAAATGCTTGGTTTTTTCCCATTTGGAAAATTCCACTGAAGAATTTTATTCCTTGGTTGGGTATGCTGCCAGCATCCCATACTACATTAATATGCTGTATCCATTGACTCTTTTTCTTCATTTATAGTCACCGAAATTCTGTTCATATGTGCTTGGTTACTGCAGTGTGCTGAGAACCAGGAATTAGAACAGAAGGTGAATCTCCTGGAGCAAAGGTTAGCTTCACTCTCTGGTGATAAACCATTGGTTTTGTCAGAACAAGGCACCAGTGAAGAATATGTTGATGAGTTGAGAAAAAAGGTTCAGACCCAGGTAATTACTTGCTAGCTGGGATTTCAAACTTTAATGGACATCCTTAATGTTGTCAAGTTTTTTACTTGGGATGGTGGATTCTGCCACATAAGTGTTTTGCTGCAATGTGTTTGAACCCTTTAACTGATGCATATATTATTTATGTTTATCTGGGCAGGAATTTGAGAATGAAAGATTAAAACTAGAGCATGTTCACATTTCAGAGGAAAACAGTGGGTTACATGTACAAAATCAAAAACTGGCTGAAGAAGCTTCTTATGCAAAAGAATTGGCTTCTGCTGCTGCTGTTGAGCTGAAGAATTTGGCTGGTGAAGTTACAAAACTCTCATTACAGAACGCAAAATTAGAGAAAGAATTGTCAGCTGCTAGAGAGTTGGCGCATTCTAGGACTGCTAACCAAAGTATTAATGGTATGAACCGAAAATATGGTGCTGGGAGGAGGGGCAGACTCTCTGGCCGATCTAGTGACATTTCAGGTATGGATGACTTTGACTCATGGAATCTTGATCCAGATGATCTGAAAATGGAACTGCAAGCTAGGAAACAAAGGGAGGCAGCTCTTGAGGCTGCCTTAGCGGAGAAGGAACTCATAGAAGATGAGTGCAGGAAGAAGGTTGAGGAAGCAAAGAGAAGGGAAGAAGTCCTGGAAAATGATTTAGCAAACATGTGGGTGCTTGTAGCTAAGTTAAAGAAAGAGGGTGGTGCTATCCCTGAGTCTAACAATGGTGAAAGGCATGGTGATGTTGATCAATTTGAGGATACAAAAGGAAATGATGCAGATACTAATCTTTTCTTGAAAGAGACACAAGTCTCTGATGTATCAAAACCAGTTGATGGAATTTCCAAGGAAGAACCCTTGGTTGTTCGCCTTAAGGTATGCATTATCCAGTGCATGTTTTTTGTTTTCTATATTTCATTTATGCTGGACAGTCTTGGTCTCCTATTCATTTAATTCAAACTTCCAACTCAATGGCACATCCCTAAGTTTTGAATTGAAGCATGTTTATTTTTGCTTTAAATAAAAAGTAGGTTTAGCGTAGGACGCATCCTTCCATTCAGGGTTGAGGATCATAGTGGGGAAAACATGCTTACTTCTGGACTGTCTAGTGTCTATTTACTTTCTCAAAGACTAGATGCCAGCTGTCTACATGAGGCTCTTCACCTTTCATTATCTCTTTTTGCCCCCCAAAAACAACTTTTTTGTGGTGGTTGGGCATTCCTCTTGTTTCCACTTTCTAAATTAGTATCATTCAACTTCATTAGTATTATTATTTTTTTGGATGGTATCATTCAACTTGATAGTCATATGAGGATTGTTTCTTTCTATACTATATACTAGCAAAAGAGACAACTTCTTTTATGACTGAATTAGCCATCTTTGATGCAAAGTCTTTCACCTCTAGCAATGGATTTGTTTTGCTGTGCTGCAATGCAGTAGCAGCTCATTGTACTTTCTTGCTTTTATTTTCCAAATTAAAGCACATAATTAGATTTCTTTAAGGCTGGTGTTATTTAAACTGCAAAATGCCTTTTCAGGCTAGAATGCAAGAGATGAAGGAAAAAGAGCTGAAATCCCTGGGAAATGGCGATGGCAATTCTCACATGTGTAAAGTATGTTTTGAATCGCCGACTGCAGCAATACTTCTCCCATGTCGACATTTTTGTTGTAAGTTATTTTAAATTTAACTGCCTTCTAATTTTTTTCCCGTCATTTACTGTCCATATTCTTTTCTTTCATTTTTTATTTTTTATTTTTAACTTTTTTTTAAAATTAGTGTTCTTTGGTTTGACTTTTTGCAGTATGTAAATCTTGTTCGCTTGCTTGTTCTGAGTGTCCAATTTGCCGCACAAAGATTGCAGATAGGCTCTTTGCATTTGCTTCTTGATACTGCTATTTATATCCTCTAAAGGAAGGTAGTGCTAATTAATTTTTAAGAATATCAAATAAAAAAGATCTACTGTTACTTTTTGTGATATGTTTCAGTTGAAAGAGAGACGACCTCACTAGGATTCTTCATAGATGACATAGAAATTATATTTCACTGATTTTTTCAATAGATAGAATCTGTTGACCATGGATACATCATACATGCAGAAAAATATAACATCCTTCAGTATTTTTATTTATTTTTTTTAAAATATTGCAGGATTTAAGACTTTCCTGGTGGCTATTTTCTGAGTGATAGCTGATGCAATTCTTTCATTACATTTGCCCGTATGTAACTGTTTTAAAGGTGTATCTATAACTAGCTTCAGCTACTTTCTGCTTCTCTCAAATCTGAGGGGCTGTAAAATAATAAAGGGGTAGAATCAGTCCATTTTTACTTTTATTTTTTATTTTTGACCCAAGATTGCCTTTTTAGAAGTTTTAGATACAAAATGTAACTCTGTTTTAAACCATGCAGCAAAAATGTATGTAAGCTGTCTAAATTGTTACATTCTGATGTACAGAAGCACTATTTCGTGCCACGATCGTATATATAATCATATCTTCGTTTATCATTCTATTGCCCTTTTATTAAAGAATCATGGTCCTCGAGAAAATATGAAAATTATTTTGATTGGATTTCAGATAATTACTTGAGATGTCACTGTCAGGATAGGTAATTGGTCCATCATGTCGGATTTTCTCTGGATCAGCAATTTTCTTCGATATCAGATTGTCGGGTGTGCATCGTGCAGAAAACTATTCTTGTCTAATTTCGGGAAATTCTTCTCATTCTATTCCGAAAGGGTTCACATGTCTTGTGTTAAACCAAACTTTAAACTTTTGTCATATATAATGTGTGGAAATTTTATTCGATATTGTGCTTCCTACTCTTTTAGAATTGTTACTGTTTAAATCCTTCTTTTTTTTCAAACAACTCCCAATATGTAACCTTGTTAAAAAAAAAAAAAAGTTATTGTGGTTGCCTAGATGCAAGTAGATCCCTCAGCTGGTACCGAATAGTAAAACAAGACAAATTTGAAGTCACTCTTAAAATAAGTATTTTGATAATTAAATTATTG